TGATGAAATTGCTAAATTGAATTTAAGTAATGATAGATTATTAAATTATGAAATATAATTTAATAGGGCAAATTAAATAGTTGATTTAATTACAATGATAATCGTAATAATAATTATAATTAGTTGATAAGGTTAAAGTTGAAGAATTGTCGATGGGTAGATAGATAATCACACCATTTATTAATTATTTTTCAGATTTTGTGTGCTATGTGCAAGATTTTTAATATGCACCTGGTTGCAAAAAAAAACCTTTTTTTAATAAATTTGCCCATAAAAACTTTGTTGGTAATCATAAATGAAATTGGCCTTTCAAGTAATTCTGAAAGCAAAAGCGAATTTATACCAATCACCACGTTTTTAATGAACATTCCTGAAGATAGTAATTTTACTGAGAAGGAGGAGAACAAAGAGCTAGATGTTGAAGCAAAATATAAATTAGATTTTAGTATGCATTTCCAATTTGGAAAGTTAGTATTAAGAATATTAAACAAATCGGCATAACAACTAGGATTTAAGTTTAGAAAGGGTAGATCGGAAAAATTTTGAAAATGACATGAAAACAAACTCTTGTTTGTATTGTGATGGTACCAATAAAAAAAGAATTAGATTAGTTTTTTTTTTGCTCTTATTATTATTATTTATGGTAATAATCAATTAATAATCTAAATTAAAAAGTACTAACTTTTACGCCCAAAAAAAATTAAAACATAATTTCATGTGGATATGACTTGTAAAAAAATTTCTTATACCCGAAATAATTAATTGCTGTGGTACAAACTAAGTGACCAACTCTTAAATAAATAATAGTAATAGTAGATGTCACACTTACGTTTATCTTAGAAAATTTAAACTAGCTGGTTTGTAAAAAAACTACCTCTTATTGAAGATAGCTTTGGCTCATTTATCTCAGTTGCTGCAGACACAATCAACTACAACATCCTCAATCAGAACCAAAAGTGAATATTTCCACTTCAATTGCTATGCACCCCCGATATGATCTTGGGGAGAACGAATATTACAACCATCCTTAAAAAGTAATTCAGGGATAGCAGTTTCAAAAAGTCGAGTTAATAATTTTTTCAAAGGTGACTATGCAAAAAGAAACTTCCTTTGCAGAATGCCTTCTCTCTTACCGTGCACAAAACCCAAAGATTGAAATGACTTCATGCAAACTGTCAACATCGATGAAAATATGTTCGCGCCTGGTCAAGTATACGCAGAGTGCCTTTCTTGGGATTCGCTTAAAAACTTAGATTTCGACTTTTCTTGTATAAAAATTGATCAATCCGTGATTCAAGAATATGTAAGATTGAAAATCCTGGACCAGAGAGGCGGTGGGTAAGCAAAAA